TACTTGGGTAATGGTGATTGGAAAATTGTCCACATGCACAAATATAAGCTAAGCACATATTCTAAATTAAATTAAGAATTTGCATGTTATTACATGGAAGAATGCTAACATTTTCTTTATGGTTGAATAAAAGGGTAATTTTGGAAATTTTAATACACTGGATTTATTAACACTGGATTTAGTCAATTATCAGTATTCATCAAATGAGGCAAAGTATATTTTAACAAAGAATAAGGGATTACCTGCTATAAAAAGTATTTTGTTTTCCACATGAAATACCTAAATTCATTTAAAAATATTCAAGTTTTAGTTAAGATAACTTGCTATACTTCATATTAAAGTTTACATATTAAAAATTCCCTGTGGGTTTTGCTTTCATATTATTTTTAATAATTTAATATTATTTTTAAAAATTTATACATACAAGAACTGGGGAGTAGGCCAGAGGTTTGAGGGCTAGGAGGATTCACCAGAGACAGCATGGGGAGCAGAACATGCAAATCTACTGAAATACACAGCAAAGGGGAGCAGCAGACGAGACAGAAGAGATCTGCTGTGCCATGTGGGTCACCTCCCTGGCTAGGGATCAAATTCATGTTGCAGTGGCTGGCGATAGCTTGATAGTGCCGTGACTTAACCCCTGAGCCACCAGGGAGGCCCTATTTTTTTTCTAAGTTTATTAACTTAGGTGCATACATACTGTTTTGTGTCTACGTAATGGTCAATCAGATGTGGCCACAAGAGGACACACAGGACAGTAACAAGTCCTAGGAATAGGAGACATGACACGGTACCCCTGACTTGCCAAGCCAGTCAAGGCCACATTGGGAAGCAACTGTTTAGGTCAAATGTTAGAAAGGTGTTCCTCTGGGTAGATAATCAGAAAGAGATGCTCGCTTTGAACAGACCACTGAAGAAAAAAATGTATTCTTGTCAGTTTCAGCGCCCCTGTTCCATGGCATGGAGCAGGGGTGCCACTCCAGCCCCTCCTCTCTCCCTTGGACTTAATGTGAAGTAAATGCATAGTAGATGTTTGCTCAAAGAATTAATGACAAAAATGATTACTATAAATAGCTAAGTTCAGAAATGTTTGCAAGCCTGAAAATTCAAGGGGAAAAAAGTAACAATAGAAATTTGATCTTGTTTCTAAAGATGACTATAAAGAAGTTAGAGAAGAGATTAGAGAAGAGATGCAGTTTTCGTAAGATACATGTCAAATGAAAAAAATTTAAATCATAATTCTGAATTTTCTAGAAAAAAAAGTTTATTTTAAACCAACAGTGAAAGCAAGTTACATGGTTGAAATGTGTACATTTTTCATGTGCATATTTAAATGTTTAACATTTTAAGGAAGATAGAACACAGCTAACATAATAAAAGACATTGAAAAATTATCATATGAGGCTGGAGAGTATAAACCATAAGCACTTAATCTACCCATCTGTCCTTGGGCACTTATTTCCTTACTTGGCTAGTCTAAATAGTGCTGTCATGAACATGAGAGTGTATAAATCGGGCCTCCCTTGTGGCACAAAGGGTTAAGATGCAACCTATGAAGCTATCCGCAGCCACTGCAACACGAGTTCGATCCACGGCCAGGGAGCAACCCACTGGTGCAGCAGACCTCTCCTGACTCTCCCGCTGCTCCCCTCAGCAGTGTATTTCAGTAGATCTGCCTGTTCTGTTCCCCACTGTGTCTCTGGTGAATCCTCTCACCCTCCACACCTCTGGCCTGTACCCCAGTTCTTGTATGCATAAATAAAAAAAAATCTTTAAAAAAAAAAGTGTATAAATCCCTTTAAATTAGTAATTTTTTACCCTTCAGATAGATATTTCTTCCATTCAGTAGAATATCTTTTAATGTTAGTGATAGTTTCTTTTGCTGTACAGAAGCTTTTTAGATTGATATAGTCCCGTTTGTTTATTTTTGCTTTCGTTTTCCTTCCCATTGGATTACCCAAAAACATCACTGATGTCTTGGAATGCTTTGCCTATGTCTTCTATTTATTTTATGGTTTCAGGTCTTACATCTTCGATCCCTTTTGAGTTAATTTTTGTGTATGGTGTGAGATAGTGGTTATTACCCTGTTTTTCCTCTGAAAGAATATGCCAGAATTCAAGAGACATCACTTTAAAATTCCACACATCTCCTAATCACAGGCTACTGATATGTTCAAGTATTAGTTATCATAGTGTTAGATATGTGGTTAGCTCTTGGCATCTGAATCCAGAAGCATTAATATGGGACGGAGAGGCAATTAAGCCTTTCAAGGTGCCATAATGTTTGGGAACTTGGTTAATCTAAGGGGCATTTTTTCTGCTCTACCAATTTTACTATTCTAACTTTTGAGCCCAGCAAACCCTTTTTATACCACTTCCTTGCCCAAGATGTTATAAATTCTTTCCCTTCTAGACTTGTCTCTGTATACTTTCTGTCCTTAAATGTCTTTTCTGTTTCTGTGCTGTGCAGTTCTCATATTCCAATATATTAGCTACTGGGCTTTCTATATCTCTATCCACAAAACTCTGAATCACCCCAGTCTCTAATTTCTTGAGTAATTTCTCTCCTAACCACCTTCCCAGCTCTCCATATGATAAAATATTTGTTTTGATGTGACTACAGATTTTATTTATAATACTACTTTTATGGCTGTAACAAACTAAGACTTTGTGTAAGTTTGTTATTTATTAAGTAAAACCACTTAGTTTTTTTATTCAAGCCTATTAATTTATTAATGCTTTGGCTCTAATTACATAAATATTATGTAATTCATTTAATTTAATCACATCCTCCTATAACCCTCACTATGCTGTTTTTGCCTTTAACAAATACTTACAGATACTGCAGTTGCCTTTCTCTTATGGTTAGCAATACTGCATTCATCTCTTAGAAACTCTTTGAGGATACACCTTTCAACAACTATAATTATGTCCTAAAATATTATGACTTGCATTGGCAATTTTACATATTGTACTTTACTAAATATGTAAAGTTTTTCTAAAGTCACAGAGCAGAAAACATACATAAAATGATATTTAGAAATATAGAGACATTGTGTCTCTTTCAGGAAATGAAGTGTCATATCAGCATCCAATGTAACTGTGCTGCAATCTCTTAGGATTAGCTGGAAGGCTGTGCAATGCTCTAGCCCATGGTATGAACTACGTGGACTGAGTAATTTGACCATGTAAAAGAAAAAGGGATATTGGCCCTGGGTGGCTCTTTTCATATGTGTGTTTGTTTTATTTTTATTTTTCTTATAGCCTATTCCACTTTTATGTTCACTTTGGAAAAACAAAATATTTTTAAAAGAACACTGTTAAGAAGCACAGCTATCAACCAAAGAAAACTAAAACTACTCTCTGCTCACTTTTCACACTATAAATATTTTGCCATTACATTTATATATTTTTCCTAAGGCTATCAACAATCCAAACATATGGTTTTATTTTTCCTCATATGCTTTTCATCTCCTCTTGTCTTGTGCTGGTGACTTATAGCTCATCTCATGAATCTGTTTCCCAAACTACCTCATTTAGCAAGAGATATTTTTTATTTCATTTTATATGAATTTCTTTTTTTTTTCTGTTTTTGCTGTTAGCTAGCCCCTGAGATTTGAATTTGTCTGTATTCATTAGTTATAGGGTGAATCCATATTTGGCTTGTGTGCCAGCCAAAGCTAAGTTGCAAAATCTGCTGCTGCTTCCTCTCTCAGCATATCAAGAAAATGTTCTTATTGCAATAAATATTTATAAAAGATTTCAAAATTACATGCTGTTTTATTGGTGAACATAACTTAAATACCCTCTACTGTTGAACATTTTGGGGTTTTCCCTTATGTGGACTTTGTTTTCCTATTATAATCAATTCTGCAATAAATATCGTTCTTGATAAATCTAAATCTATACACACTGCTAAGTTTTTCCCTGCAAAGATCTTAACAGTGTAAGAGCTAGACTTGTTTATTTTAAAGTTTTTGACAAATATTGCCAAATTGTTTCTAAATGTCTCATACTCCAGAACCAAATTAGTGCAATATTACGACTTTCTAATACTGAGTCAAAAACTGCTAATTTGTAAATGAGTCTTACCATTCCTGCAGAGCAGGCTGCTTCCTTCACATTCTTCCACATTTGTGGGGTAATTTGGATAGCCTGCTTCCAGATTATTCATCCCCTACACTACCTCCTCCTATACTCTAGCGGTCATAGAAAAATATAGGGCTCTGTTTAATTACTCCCATTTGTAACGTTAGTCTCCTAGTAGATATTATGTGTTTCTGACCATATTGTCTAGAAAACTGATAATGATTTTTCTTTTTTTTTTTCCAAATGAATGCAAGAGGGATGTATTTCCTTTCTTTACCTTAGAATATAGATTTATTTTAATAAATTTGAAATTATATAAAGTGAACTAGATTGTCTTTTATTCAAAACTAGTAAAACATCCCTCCTTGTTAGCAAATTTAGTCACTATTAGAAAAATCCTGTCAAGTTTACTCATAAGAAAACTTAGTTTAAAAGCCTCCTTTTAGCAACAGATACTGTAATTTCTGTAATTTTTTGGTAAAATTTCCCTTTCCTCTCATTTCTTTATAAAGGCAGAAGTGATGCACATTAAAAAGGAATGCTTTTGGAAGCACCTTACTTATGTTGCATGACAACCTTAAAGCATATTTGCACTGGCAGAACAGCACTTCCTCATAAGTGAGCCCACTGATTTTTCGTGAATATGTTTATTTCCTGTGGTCATGCAAAGTAGTGCCTTTTCTTGACAGCAGAAATAAAATTAGATGACTGATTTTGCATAATCACATTAAAGTCAGCCCTGAATTGTAAAGTCCATTCAAGACCATGAGACTCAAAAATTTTAATTTCTAAATATATGGCCCCTAGATGATCTAATTGAAGTATACGCTCCAAACGTTCGATCTAAAATACCTTTCATGTCTTTTCCTTTTTACTCTTGTCCTCACTCTTAATGATCCACCGGCCTCCAGTGTCTTTACATCCAAAATGCAAAGCAGACAAATGGGCATCTCAGGGAAGAACATGACCAAAAGCACCAGCATCAGCGGGGACATGTGCTCGCTGGAGAAGACCGATGGCAGCCAGTCCGACACTGCGGTGGGCACGTTGGGCACCAGCGGCAAAAAGCGGCACTCTAGCATTGGGGCCAAAATGGTAGCTATTGTTGGTCTCTCCCGGAAAAGTCGCAGCGCCTCTCAGCTCAGCCAAACGGGTAGGCATTTTTACCTTACTTGTTGCCTTCATATTGACTTGTCATCAAACTACATACTCTTTTGTCTTACTCATTTTGCTGTGGTCATGTGTGCTGCGGTCACATGTTCCAGAGGGAAAGGTGCATTTTAAACTTTCTGAAAATAAAACATCAATTTTGATTTTCAGCAATGTACGAAGCTGCTTCAAAGTGAACATTGACCACTGTGCTTGAAGTACAGTTAATGTCTTTCCTCCTCAGGGACAAGCTATAAGCAGTGGCCCCCTGATCTCCAGTTGCTGATCCTTTGTAAACGAGCTCTGATCTGCAAGATACTTGTTTTTCTTTAGGTTCCTCAAGTTGGAACCAACCCAGTTAATTTTCACGCCCAGCAAGTTACCAAGATGAAGATGACACTATGTATTTTATGTGAATAATGTAGTTCTTTTACTGCTGATAGTCTTGCTTCTTTTTCAGTTTGTAAGCAGCCTTACCCAGTAGTATCCATTTTCTCACTGCAGTTTTTATTTCCCTGTTGAAACTTCAAGCAGCAATGTTCTCCAGCAGCAGGGATGGAGGAATTTTCTGCTGACAGTGAAGATATGCAAAGCTTTGCTACTTTAAAATTCAGTTTCTAAATCACATCTGCAAAAAGAAATTAGATACAACACTCCTACTCAGAAAAGCCACTGTTAGCAATTAAGAAATTTGTGAGTCAAAGCAATGTCTTTTTTTCAAATGGGTGTTGATAATTAAACATTAAATCCCTGGTATCTTGGAAGTAATAGCATATCTTCTACTTATACAAACAAAGACATATAATATGGTGTTTCTTTTACAGCAAATAAATTGCAGGCAAATGGATTAAGTCTCATTTATGTTTGAATACTATGGTTCTTGTTCACAGAAGTCAGGACATAAATCTACATCACAGAAGAATTTAAGGATCTGTTCAATCCCAGACCTGACTAAATCATTTTGCAAATTTTAACTGATTCTGAAATTTGAACTTTCTATGATAATAATATATACTGAAATAGTTGCTTCTTGTTATCACTTATATTTTGGCTATAAGTCACTACATTTAATGTGATCATTATGTAGGAACTTCTCATTTGGTGTTTCAAAATGTTATGTTGCATTTCAATACAGAAATCAAAATTTAATTTGTGGCCATAGAGATTATATATAAATCATTTTTAATTGCTAATATTTATACGTAGTTAGTTGTGTTGTGCTAATATGATAGATGTCAACCTTTTGAAATCCAGGGGGGTTTCCTAAATGTATATTTCTCTAGCAGTTAGAACTTAATTTACTGCTTTTTTCTTTCTTAAAACCTATGAATATCTATAAACTTAGAACTGCTGGGAAAAATAAAGTCTGTTAATCAAAAATTTAAGAACCTGAAATGGACATTAACAAGACTACAAGTATTGCAATATGTCATGTGAAAGTAGAAATCATTAATTCCATTCTTCAGGTTATATTAATATCAAGTATGTATGTGCTAGGCACATGGAAAACAAAAATGAATAAGAAATCATTTATAACCTGAGTTGCTTATAATCTATGAAAAGATAGATACCAAATATTTAGACAGATTGCTTCCTGGTGGTATGTCAATAGTAAAACTAGAATTACATAGAAAGTGTAGCAGATGTTCAGAGAAAGTCCACTTAGGCCAGCCAGTAATATAAGATCTGAAGGAAGGGTGAGTGCTAACCAGGTAAAGGGCATTTAGAAAGGTGCTTAAGATCAAAACCAAAATGAGGAAAAGCATGGAGGGTTGTCATGTATAGGAATGATAGGCGACCAACTATAATGTTAAGATCAAATGTTGAGCTGAATGTGGTGGGAGATGATGTAATACTAAGTAGAAACCATAACATTAATATGTAGATCATATAGGTGAGCTGTATGTACGTATATCACCTGTATTAATATAGGTGATAGGAAGCTTTGAAAGGTTTTCAGTAGAAATTTTGATATGTTATTGCCTAATAAGTAATGTATAAGTTATTTAGACTACCATACATTTATTAACTTTTCTTTTTTTGCTATCTACCATATGTCAGGGCTATGCTAAAGAAAACAGGACCATGTCAAGGGGTCCTTTTGGAGCTTATATTCTAATAGGGCTGCAATAAGAAGTAATCCTAAGTCAACATCTGGTAAAAAGAACTTTAGGATGAAAATGCAGTACAGTACAATAATTCAGCCAAGATCAGATGTTGAACTAAGTCTGTTGTAATAAAAATAGAGAGGCGGTGATAGATTCAGGAAATTTTAGACAGCAGAAATAGTAGTCAGTCACTAATTTAGTGACTGGTTGGATATGCGGAGGTGAAGAAGAACATCCTAAGATGAGTCTCATATTTCTGACTTGCATCACTAGGTGGGTGATCACAGCTCTATTAACAAGTATTGGAAGTATAAAGGAAGAAGTGGATTAGGGAAAAAAGGAGAGGGATGAATCCTTCAGTTTAGGACTTTTTAAATCTGAGATGCCTATCTATCAGCATCCAAGTAGATAAGTCTAGAATATATTTAAACAAACATTTCTGAAGCTGGTATGAGAATCAGGAACATAAATCTGAGACTTAAAGTTTCGATGATGCGTAGAACGATGAATATGGCTAAGATTGCCCAAGAAGAACACTATAGATAAAAGAATGATGGGCTAAGACAATATCCTGTAGAAGATTAACATTTTGGAATTAGGCAGAGGAAGAGGAGGATCTCATGAAGGCGATCAAGAAAGAATGGTCATGAAAAAGACAAAAACTTTAAGAGAATAGTGTCACTAACACTAAGTGTAGATTTCAAGAAGAGAATGGTCAATATTTCTCAATAATAAATTTCATGCTTTTACAGTTTTAGCATAATCTCCCATAGATCTTTCTTTGACAGCATTTTTTATTTAAAAATATATATATATCTGTTGACCATACACTGAGACTCTGTAACAGGATTGATTTGACCGTCGTGTATGTATAGATACAGAGTTTTGTCTTCAATAACATTGTGAGGTTGGCAGACTAACCTATGTAGTCTTGTTTGTGATATCATATAGCCCCTTTGATAAATAGCATAGAAAAAATAAAGTGTTCTTTTTTGCCATTATCACCGTTAATAGTCTGTGAATTATATTAAGTTTTTATTCATTCTTAAAATATGCAGTTATTCCTAGCTTTCCATTAAATAGCTTTGCCCTATTGACAATAGAATGCAGAATATCCTTATCTTAAAGCCCAGGTTTAATGGTAGACTAGCCAACAGAGATTGTTTTGCAATTGCTGGGCTCCAGAGGCCCCCTTTTTTTTTAACACAATGTTCCCCTTCATCTTCAAGCTTACAATGGCACATTGAATCTTTCTTGTGCTTCAAAACTCTCTGAGCATCCATTTTAAAGTATACCTCTTCTGCCCAATAACCAGAGAAAGTTCTCTGCTTTAAAGGCTCTTACATTTATTTAGATTGGCCATACTCAACTGATCGAAGGTAATCCTGTTTTAAGATTCTTATCTATAATTATAGCTGCAAAGTGCCTTTTGCCATGTAACATATTTCTAGATCCAGAGAATAGTGCACAGACATGTTTGGGGACTATTTTGCCTTCCACAAATAATAATAGTGGATGGAGCTAGAAAAATGGGGAGATTCAAAAAATAGTGGAGCTATGTTTTTTTTTAATTATTGTTTACATTCTTAATGTTTTTTGGGAGTGAAGGCAAAATAGAAATAAAAGTGTCCAAAAATAAAAATAAATAAAAATTAATTTTTATTATTTACACCATCTGACCTGACAACACAAACCAGTTATTTAAACTTTTTTCTAATTTTAATGTTTTTTTCTAATATAACATTTAGAAACATTTGTCAGTCATTTAAACTCATAATTATCAATAGCATAAATATGTTTACTTAATTTTTGCAACTTGAGGTTTATGCATTACCTGTCCCCATTTCACTTAAAAGTTTCATGGTAAATGGATACACTCCATAGCCAGAACTTTTTATGTGACTTTATTGTTACTAACAGTATGGTTTTATAATTAGTTTTGTTCATATCATTAGAAAGGAGAAACATGCTCTTTAAAATAAAAATTTCTCCAGGAATTTTTTTAATTTAATATAGATTTTATTTTATTCAATTAGATATAATTTCAAGATGTAACTAGCCCAAAGGCATCATATCTGCTAGTAATCAGTAAAGGTCTAATAACTGTAAATAACTAAATCATAGAGAGTTTAATTGTGAGTTGAGAAGTACATACTAAGGAAAATAAGTCTTATAATTCCATGAAAATTAAATTCTTTGAGGCTTTTGGCTGTCAGATTATAAATAGAAATGTAATTTTAAGATAAAGGTCATATTTAATGAAATTCCCATCTGTTCTAAATAGGTATGTGAAGTTGCCAGATGCTTTTTATTCCACTGAGTCTTGTTCTGTCACCTACTAGGAAGACTTCCAAAGAGACAGTTGCAGGCATTTGTTGGAAATTTAATAAAACCCTAGGTAAGCAGTGTAAAATTCTTTTAGGAATAATGATAACTCATTCTTCTAACATATGGGAAAAGGTAGGAGTACTGGCCTGTGGGCCCCTTGAGCTTTGAAAACTATTAGCTATTACAGACTTTATGGAATGAAAAAGTGCAAAAACAATCCTTCTTTCATCCCCTAAGGAAGTAGATAATACTATCTTTTTATTCTGAAATGAAAGCTTACTGTTTTTAAACTGACACTCTTATTTGCTGCCTTATAATAACATAGCATCATATTGTTACTCAGTATATGCTTACTCAGATTCTACTGTGTAAAAGACATCATGGTATGGGATGCTTTTGTGTGGTATTTGTATTCCAATGGGAGAGATGAGCCTTAACAAATCCAGTGTAATTAGTCAAACTTACAAAGCTTGCTTTGACAGAAAAAGTGCCAGCTAATTAAGAGTGTATCACCAGGGATACTGACCTAGTTTGGCTCATCTTCTTTCCACCCCAGTACTGGATGGGT